ACCCAATCTAAATTGCGGTTTACTATGATTTATCATGCCACTTAACGCAAACGTAAATGGCAATGGTTGTAATTTTTTTTCCAAAACAGCACCCACTGTCCAATTCGTATCTATGCTTCCTATAATAAAAATACGACTGTGTGTTAGTATATGTCTTAGAAATTGTAAATGTAACGTACGAACGATAAACGAACGAACGAACGAACGGGACGGAAGGGAATGCGAAGGGCTGACGCGATTTATATAAAAAAATGTGTGAATGATTCAATGATGGAATAAATAATTTAGAAGAGGTAGCTACTTGCTACCATACCTCTAAATATTAAGTCGGCTTTAGGTAAATCAACTTGGTAAGCAATAGCTCCTGTCGATTCCTGTATTCGGCTGTTAATTTCCAATTCTACACCAACTTGCAACTGTTGACTAGCTTTTTGATGGAAACACAGGTGACATCCGGACAAACCTATCGAGAGACGGTCTTGTTATTAGCATGCTGTAGATTGTTTATCGTTCACACAGACATCACATCATATATCGTTTTGAACGTATCTAATCGTTTTACGTACCTAAACTACCACTAATCGTAGAGTCTCCGTTCGTGTACCTTCCAGCGGCTGAGAGAACAGCGACTTGACCTCCTGGTACGGCAGGGCCTCGTTGGTAAGCGAGTTCTCCACCCAACGCGACAGAGGGAGTTACGCTTTGAAGATAATGCATTACGAAAACGCCTGAAAGAACATTTTGTTCCGAACCATAATCGTTTCTAACAATTTACATAATCGATCTTTACCTCGCACGCTTACCAGAACCGTTAAGTATGTCCGGATTACCCAATGTCAAAGAGACGGTATACGCGTCGCCACGATAATCCGTTGTCATTTGAACAGCGGTGAATTTACTTTTGTGCACTTGAGTGGCTAATTTCCCCCTTAGCTTTTCCCCAAATTGATGAATAACATTGGCATTTAGATTCCCACTTGGATCTATGTCACCTAGCAATACTGGATAAGCTTCCGAGGGTGCTATTTGTTGAGTGCCGACGTACGTTGCTCCAAATCTAAATCAGTATCAATCGTTAACCATCTCTATTCTTAGACCATTCGATTCGCTTTGTTATCATCGCGCAATAATTTTAACCATACCTGTATCCAGATTGTGCAATGGAACTCATGCTTATCGTGTGTGATATTTGAAAATGATTACTAAGACCTTTATTGAACATTAGCTTTGCACCCTCAAAGTTTGCGGGAAATACATCTGCAAATACATTGTTAATTCATATTGAAATACTATGTACGTAATCACAATCGCTTCCGAAACGACAACGTGAAAAACGATGGCAAACCGTAATCATATTACGAAAATCGAATTACGGAAGACGGAAGACGGAAGACGAAAGACGAAAGACGGAAGAATAAGAAATATTACGTGGGTTACGTGACAACAACCAATCGAATCGATATACAAATACCTTTACACTTCTTGTGAAGATCCTCGATTGTACCAGGATTTTTCAAACCGTCGGAAAAATTGCTAGATGACTGTAGTATCTCCGTAGAATCTGATTTTTCTAAATTTGGTAGTAAACCTGAGGTTGGAGGCGGCGGCGAAGGTGGAGGAGGTACGGAGGCTGCTAATACGTTTCCCATTTTCCTCGATTTTATGCGTTTAAAACTTTAATAATTTTGCCCTCTGTCTGTACAAATAGTACAGTACTCTAATTCTTTCAACCGCTGTGCGTTCTTACGCAAAAACGTTAAATATTTACTATATATATATATATATATATATACACACAAAAATCCTCAATGAAAAATCTTCCGATTAAATGAAACAGCGTGCTTCTACCTAAGTCGCCATTTGTAAAAGACAGCCACTGCCGCTCAGATCAAGGGATTTCTTCTCTACGAAATGTCCCTATTAAAGCACGATATATGTACTTTGATGAATACGCAACAAACGACCGGACAACTCAAATCTAAATTTCCAATTCCAACATTCACATCACCGTCTTTACACACTTGTTGTCAATTTGCATATTCAAATTCTTGTATGTATCTAACGTGTCTAACGATACGATAGCAATTAATCGTAAAAAACTTTTCTTATGCTTAAACGATTGTTCATATTGCATTCCCCTATTCTGATTGGTTGTACGTTGCTAGCATCAACGTTTATTTCTCCTGCGATCCAATCTGATTGACGATTGCGTTCGAAGTGAATGTATTCGAAATACGATTTAACCTAAAATAAAATTAAAAGTTTGTTTTATTTATAAAAAAATATTCAATCAGTGCTGTTTATGAACAATTTTTTTTTGTCGATTATAATTCGTATTACACGCAACAATCATAAATAATTCTAATTATATTGCTCCGTTACTTTGTAATAATTTTTGTTTCATGCCACAATAAACAATACAGTTGACATCACAAATGCAACATTTTATTTTCCTTTATACGTACTCGTACACATACGCACGTACAAAGCATACGCAAATTAAGTATCCCAATTTATAATTTAAGACGCATATACATTACACTTGTATACGTTATACAAATTTTGTGGCAATAGCTAGTAACTTTGTATAATCTGCACCTTTACTATGTGTATTCTTTCTCATAATTGTTCTCAGAATATGAGGAATTGGTACATGAATCCTTGTACCTAAAGGCGTTCCAGTGTCATCTATCAGAACTATATTGTTGCTGTCAAATCTTGGAACTTTGGGATTTTGGCGCTGCTTCAAACCAACCAATATACCTTTTTTCTTTTCACCTTTTATGGCAACTAGTACTCTGTCCCCTATATCGAGTATACTATTATCAAAACGTTTCAACAATTTACACGTCATCTTACCTATATAACCAACTCCAGTTTTGTTATAAACATGAATACAACGTGGTGGTTTCCCTTCCATCATAGCTGCCTTTCCAATTTCACTATTATCCACAACTCTTAATCTTGTCAATTTTATTATCTGATTGCATATCGTCGATGTAGAAACACTTCTGGATACGACATTAAATAGTGTACCAGGTATAAACATTATTACGTTTCCTATAATAAAAAGTGCCAACATTAATTTGCAAATGAGATGACAATTATTATTATTGAATATTGATCAAATCCTTCGATACGAACGTAGAAAAAAGAGGAAATCGTACAGTTTAAAGCTAGCCTATTAAAACGATTTCTACCGCACTTTACTTCCTCTTTATATACTATAAATCTCTCGTTACTCGTAATTCAATTAACATTTGACAATTAAAATAAAAGGAGACTTATATATAGAAATTGTCTACTTGTTTCAATTTAACAACAATAGCACAACTCGATTAAAATTCACCTGTAATTATCGGAAGAAACAAAAAATGTCTTGTTTCAAATTTTAGAAGGAAATGATTAGCCTTTGAGACACCAAAACATAACCTATCGTAAAGTCGAAACATAACCTACCTGCAACTTTAACAGGAATCACGCTCCTCGCTTACTAAGATGAATAAGATTCAACGTTATCAGAGGGCAATTAAACAATTACATCTCACTTATGCATCTCAAACTAATTCAGTGTATGTCCGAAATTATTGTACAAAAGGAGAATCAAGTACGACTGCCACAAATGTGCAGGATCAAAATAACAGTGACAAAAATGTAGAAATATCGTTAGAAAAATGTAGCAATTTCGAACAAACTTCTCAATTGCTTGACGATATTGAAATCAAAAATAACATGACAGTTCCAAGACGTAATACTTTCGCATCGTTACTTCGACATTCTAAATTTATAGATGTAAATATGTCAAATGTTTTATTCTATTTTATAATCTACATTTATAGTACATATCACAAATATGCATATACGCTACTCTATTCCAAATGTCTAGTTTTCTACTCATGTATGCTAATAATGTTTCAGCTGGGAGATCCTGAAGGAAAAGTAGTATTAGGAAAAATTTTTCAGATTGTTAACAATGATTTATATATTGACTTTGGATGGAAATTCTATTGCGTTTGCCCAAAACCCCAAAAAGATTCTATGTAAGTTACAATCAAAGCATTTATCTCGATAGATAATAATGTGAATTTTGTTGTTTCAGTCGATACATGAGAGGTACAAAAGTTAAATTGTTAATAAAGGACTTGGAATTGTCTACAAGATTTTTAGGAGCATCTAGTGATTTGACACTTTTAGAGGCAGACTGCATTCTTCTCGGTTTAATACAATCTCCATTGGAAGTACAGTAAAATAACAATTATTATTATTTTGTACAATATTAAATAAATTAAACGAATGAAAGTTTCAAAATTAATATTTCTTCTTCTCTCGTTATACTACAAAAACATTTACTTGTAGAACATATCAGATAAACCAACGAAATAATAATTGTCAACGATACTCTGATAATTGGAAAATATTCACTACCTAGGAATATAGTAATATTTCCAGTAAAAAACACTTTGGCAAGGAGGTATACCGAAGAAGTAAGTGCGTGAGTAGCTAAAAGGATTACCAAAATATAACCATTATCCAGTTACTGTAACACACTAATTTAGTGAGGCAAAATAGAAAATAGAAAATTTTGGAAATGAACTATTCTCAAATAAGAATGTTATTTATTCTTGCGATATTAACCGATATATGCAGCCTACCCAGTAAGATGGTGACAATCAGTCAACATACAGGTACCTACATTAACCAAAAAGAAGAAAAACAAAATACTACATATACCCAAGCAAAAATAATAAAACAAAGTAGTGACATAGAATGATTTGTCATACTTTGGGTCCTGCATTGTCCAGAAGATGAGAATTTATTAGTAATAATCCTCTTCTGCATAGCAGTTTACTGATGAATTATTATAGTTTATCTCGAAAAACATAGTTATAATTGTGGAAAAAATATGTGATAGTGAAATATGGAGTTATATATGTGAGAATATATTGGAAAAAAAGAAGGATTAAAGTTTTAACAAATTACTATATGAATTGATACGAAGACTTAAAGCCAGTTTTTATTTTTTACTTCATAATTACTTACTAGTAATTTACTTCATAATTACTAGTAAATACAAAATATAAAAAACAAAATTAATTAAAATACAACATGCAAAGATTTCTTACATATTTAACTTTGAGACAGTTCTCAAAGAACAAAATCTTTCTCAAAGAACGAAAAAAAGTGGAAGTTGTGAAAAATTTTCAATAAAAAAGTGCGAACGTTATTTTATTGCATTAGTATCTATTATTAAAAACGAAGGTTTAAAAAGAAATACGTATAAAAAAAAAATAAAATAATATCGCGTCGATTCTAATTTCTTGTATGATTATTGTAATTAAATATAATGGGCGCTACTGTGCTCTAAAAAATATGTGAGATATTGAAAATTATGTAAGATCGATAAAATCATGTCTGTTTAACTAATTACGCTAAATCTATCGATCACATTGCGCGTAGTCATAAAAATTTTCTAAAAGAAAAACTTTCGTAACGTTGTCAAATAACGATACATATTCTGCAGTACAACCAATTTGCAGAAATTGTAACTGTGAATGTTTGTTATTAGAATTTTAAATATCCGTACTTCGTACTAATCAAATGTGGCGGGCTTTTATTTTCAATCAAACGAAGTTGTGCAGTAACAAGAAAGAAAAACAGGCGGGCAGAACACGTTCAAATCTGACCGTTATCATTTTCAGGAGATTATTTATTAAGAATGTATTTTATAACAGATTATTAAATAAATTATTCAAAACAAGAAAAAAGACATGTATGTTCAATTGAGACGAATCAAACATCACCATATCGCTATGAAGAGATATCAGATTCATCGTTTGTCCTTTTTAATACCTCAAAGTTCTATAACCAGTAATTTGTACAAATATAAGTACAAGAAAAAAATATCAAGGTTTTGCAATAAATGATTTTAAAATGAATCAGTGATCAAATACTGAGCTACCAATAAATGCGAAAGACGATCGAAAAAATGAAGAATATAATTATAAATCACAAATAGCATTCTATAAATTATTGAGCAAAAACGTACGTTAATCAGATGATGTGAACATAGCCGGTGAAAGAATGACAATGAAAGTACACAGTTAATAAACATCAGGTGCAAAATATCGGGTAAACACGTCTCAACAGCACGATTCTAAATGACAAACTGACTAACTTTCTGCGCAATAGTCGCTAACTAATTTGATAGAGTGGGGCGATTCGAGTGTGCACGAATAGGATTCGACTATTTTATAAAAGTGCAAAATGTCCTACGAAAATGTTTTCAACAATGAATATACCATACATCATATGCCACAGATATGTATTTATATATAAATATCTATGACAGTATTCAAGCATTTGTAAAAACTTGTTATGGATACATATGGATAAATAACAGTTCACCATTTGGGCACAGCGTATTATTATCACTGCATATTATTTGAGCCACCGAAAGTTAAACGATGTTCACTGTTCCAAATCACATGTATATTTAGAAAATGCAAAAACAAGTTTAAAAGCGTATTGACCTAGCAGTCTTGATTTGACAAATTCTGGACAATTTCTTCTTACTGCCTTTCCCGCCAAAGTTAACGTTTTTATTCTGATATTATAAAATGATCGTGAAAAATTATATCGATTATATTCGAGAATCGCAACGTGTAATTGCATATTTCACCATTTTATTGGCGCTGCAATCTTTACCTAATTGCAATTTAAAATACGCGCGCATTTCGTACAAGATCAGAATTGTTTAACTGCAATAAAAAACGTAATTATTTTCTCTAATCCTCCTCATCCCCAGGGAGATAAAATAACATAAGTATGAGAATTGATTTAACAAAGTGTCTATAATGTTATTTTTTAAACTTTGATAAACTTTAGTCAAATAAATTTATTTTCAATTTAAATTTCGTTAATTCAATGAAGTGATACTTCTTCCGATATAAATGATTTCTTTTATTATTTTTTCTATTAGCAATATTCGAAGTTTAGCACTATTCCTGCTTCAATTAACTATCTTGGAATAAGGACAATACTCGTACTAACTTTATCATTTATTTTCTTTTATGATTCAGTGGGTATAACTCTTATTTTTGCTCTAACAACAGCTAAGAACATAAAAAACATTCTAATTTTTTCGAAGTCGGTATTTCAGAATGTGAGACACGAAATTCTATATAATGTCATATCTATTCTATTCTTAGTCGATGGTACAATATTTTAACGCTCAATATACAAAACAAATGATAAACTTTGCTCTGAAGATAAGACTCAGAAGAGTGTTTATCATTGTTACTGCAATAGCAGTTCACTTAAAGACTGCACCATGCATCTGACAAGAAAGATACAAATTTTACAGTAAGTAAACGAAGAGTACATTTCATGTAAAATGTTTTCCTGCATGAAATTAAATAATTATATACATATTCCCAATAATGCTTAGATGCAGTATGCTGATTTCACACAGAAATTTACATATTTCAAAAGTCACCAATGGCCGATTTAATAAAGTAAGGGAAAGTTTTTAATTTTCTTGAAAATTTTAAAAATTAATCAAACTTATATAGTTCTTTACTACATTATAGATATTAATTGCAAACAGAGGAGAGATTGCATGCCGCGTTGCAAGAACTGCTAAAAAATTAGGAGTAAAGACTGTAGCAGTATATAGCGATATAGATAAAGATTCTTTGCACGTAGAACAAGCAGACGAAGCATATTGTATCGGTCCTGCACCATCTAATCAGAGTTATTTAAGACAGGATAAAATTATTTCTGTGGCAAAAAAATCAAAGTGTCAAGCGATACATCCTGGTTATGGTTTTCTTTCAGAAAATGCAGAATTTGCAGAGCTTTGCCAAAAAGAAAATATTACATTCATTGGACCTTCGGCAGATGCGATTAAAAATATGGGAATTAAAAGTACTTCAAAAGATATGATGATAAAAGCTGGGGTTCCTGTTATAGCAGGTATACACACACCTAGTAATATAAGATACAAGATGTTCCTCGCAACTGGTTCGAGCTATAACGTCAAAATGATAGAAGATAGAGAAAAATTTCATTAGGAGAAACTAAATAGTTTCAAATGCTACATCGTCTGATACATACGTAAGCTTTCTTTGAAAGTGGAGGCATTTCATAAATTTGAACTATAAAAACTAAAAATTGAAACTATAAAAAATGTCATTCTCTATAAAAAAAGCATTGGAGTACTTGACACACAACAAAAAATATTATTTCTGCTAAACTTTCATTTATATTGTACCTCGACCCAATAGCGAGGAACATTCTCTATTATTCAAGTACGATATTATATCATTAACAAAAATAGGATATCATGGAGATGACCAGTCTAACGAAAGCTTACTATTGGAGGCAAGGAAGATAGGTTTTCCTTTAATGATAAAGGCTGTATGTGGAGGTGGAGGAAAAGGCATGAGAGTAGTTTTGAAAGAATCAGAGTTCATCGAAGCATTGGAATCTGCAAAAACTGAATCTGAAAAAGCATTTGGCGATTCGGCCATTTTACTTGAACAGTATATCAATAATCCAAGACATATTGAAGTACAAATTTTTGCAGATAAACATGGAAATGTTGTTCACATGTTTGAAAGAGATTGTTCTATTCAAAGGAGACATCAAAAAATTATTGAAGAAGCACCCGCAGTATGTGTATTTAAATTTTGTATGTGAAAGATTCGAACTTCTTTCAATATCATAAAAAACGTAACAACATAACGATCGTGCTGTTTTGTATAGCCTGGTATATCAGAAAATTTAAGATCAGATTTAGGCGCAACAGCAGTTCGAGCGGCTAAAGCAGTAGGATATGTTGGCGCTGGTACCGTCGAATTTATAATGGATCGTGATCGAAATAGCTTTTATTTTATGGAAATGAATACACGTCTTCAAGTAGAACATCCTATCACGGAAGCAATTACAGGATTGGATTTGGTTGAATGGCAATTACATGTAGCAGCAGGAGAAGAACTTCCATTAAAACAACCACAAATTAATTTTCAAGGACATGCCTTTGAAGCGAGAATTTACGCCGAAGTAATTATATATCTATTTTTCCTTTTTTTTCTACACACACACACACACACACACATACACAAAATACGTAGCTCGCATTTTCAATAAGATAAAATGACTTTAACTTTATTGTCACTCACTTTATTTTTGTATTGTGCAATCCCATATCAATTGTATCTCACAACGAACAGGAACCAAGAAGAAATTTTTTACCAGGCGCGGGTAAGTTGTCGTACATGAGAATTCCAGAAGCCAAAAATGAAACTATCAGAGTTGAAACCGGAGTTCGTGAAAAGGATGAAGTATCGGTACATTATGATCCTATGATCGCAAAATTGATCGCTTGGGGAAGAAATCGAGAGGAAGCATTGGCTGTACTCAGATCAAAGTTAAACGATTATAACGTAAGTAAATTTTTAAATAAAATATACATATATGTATGGATATTTGTTTACATTGTTTTCTGTCACGCATCTTTAGATAGCGGGACTCAACACGAATATAGAATTTATCAAAGACCTATGTTCCCATTCGAATTTTCGGCAAGGTGAAGTACACACAGGATTCATAGAGGAACATTTTCAGGAATTATTTCGAAAATTACACGTGCCAAATGAAGTTGTAGCTCAGGCTGCCCTCGCTTTGATACTTTACGAAGATACGCGTTCTTTGCGATCATCTTTTACAACTAGCGATCCTTTCAGTCCTTTTGCAACCGAAATTGGTTTAAGATTAAATCATACTTTAACACGCACTTTTTCTTTCAACGTCTGCGACGATGATATCAAAGTTGAAGTAAGATATGTGGAACCTGAAGTCTATTCCATGAGAATCAATCAAATTGGTCCTTGGAAGAGAGTAACAGGCACATTAAAAAAAAAGGAAAACTCCTTGGAATTGCGTACCGAGGTTGACGAAACGATTACCAAAACGAGAATTATTAAAATCTACGACAAATTACATTTATTCACCAAAGCGAGTATTTTTTCTTTCTAACGAATTGTCTTCAAGTAACATTAATTCCAAAAATTGTCATTCAAAAATTGATTAATTTCAGCTTTAATTTTTGTAGGACCGTGAGTGGCAATTTAACATACCTCCTATAAAATTTCTTCATGATCTTACAAAGTGTCAAATTAAGGTGGATCCCTGCAAAGCTTCAAGTCCTATACCAGGTACTATAGAAAAATTATGCGTAACGAAGGGAGACGCTGTAAAGATTGGAGACGCTTTGCTCGTAATTAATGCCATGAAGATGGAAGTATGTTTTTAAGTTAATTTTTAAGTATGTTTTAATGTTATACTATAACTTTATACATGCATTCATATTTCAATGTTGACTGTTTCTCTTATAGCATATTGTCAGAGCATCTATAAATGGAACCGTCGAAGACGTACTATGTGCAATAGGTGATAATGTGCCAAAGGATAAAATTCTGATTAAGTTAACTCAATCTGTATCTTAAAACATAAATATTACAAATTATTATTGTTTTTATCCTGTCATATTTTTTTACTCGATTACTTTTAAATAATTCTTTCCTGTCGTACAGTTCCAAACAATTCGTAATATCCCTATTCTCATTCGACCAACGTATTTTGTATGCAAATCAAATGTAAATTACACACATGTACAATGTACAAATTCTAACTTTTCGATGTAAATTATTTGAATAAAAATTGCGAATAACGTACATAAAATTATAATGTTTAATGTATCGTTAAATTAACGTACAACGTAAGTTAAACGACTCTATTTCCGTTATTGCTAAAAACGCGCCAAATGGTGTTGCACGATTCATGGTGTACAAAACGAGTTTAGTTCAAGTTTAGTTCAAGAATGACAAAGTGGTTTTTAAATAATTTTTAGGAGAATTATAAAAAAAAATGAGTAATTTCAGATCTCCAATGCGATGTATTTCTCCTAACGCGAGGTAATGCAACGAATTAAAAATAAGCAAAAGAATTGAACGAAGGTTAGAAAGTTGTTTACTCTCGGTTCGCTTAATCACGTCGAATAATTTCATTTGTAGGATTTTAAGTGCCAAACCACAAGTGGAACAAACGCTCGATATAAGACAAACTCAAAGCAAAGCAAGAAACAATATTACGTGGTTTTTTGTCAACAGTTCTTTATTTGGAATCCTTATTTTTGATATGTAAACTCGTCATTGTCATGCTTCTTTGTCAATCGATTGTCTATTCTATCAATATTGAAAGAAACGCACATATCTGATATGTGATATTATTTTTTTAGAGTCTACGGAGGCGCAGCATACGAACCATTCTGTTGGGCTGAGTGGTGTTTGGCTTTGATATTTGCGTTAAATTCTCTTTATCATATAACAAAATACGCATGGGCTAATTTTTCTCTACAGCCAATTCTACTGAATCCTAAACAAAGACGTCTATTGGGTATATCCGAGGATGATCCTCTTTTTAAGAATGAACAACCATCATCTCCGAAAGCATCTGAGCCAATGGTTCCATTAAATTTGTCATGCATAAGTCGTCTCAACAGAAGAATGACTCCACTTGGTTCTACAGGATTAAGTGAATCCAGTATGATTAATATTTTTCTTTTTAAATTTGGGTACTGTGCAGAAACTTTTTCTATGATCTACGTTTAAAAATTTGTTTTTAAGAGGACTTTTCATCACCAACTCAGTTTTTTAAATATGGTAGTCCTACGTCACAAAAATCAACATCCAATCCTAACGGATCTTTTAACAAATCTCTTAATACTTCGACAAATGGAAATTTAACAAGCGAAGATTTGATTCAAAGTGAAAGGGAATTAAAAAATTACTTGGAGGAAGCTCATAAAAAAAAACACATTCTATCAACAGATATTGATCAGCCATCTAATTTGCTCAGCTCATTTTGGTCACATCCAGCGATTAGAAGTCCTGGAGAGGTTTCTCCATTGTTAAGAAGATGTGCATATCAATTAGCACCTATTATCGGTAAGAACTTTTTTTTTTCTTCGATAAAATAGAATTTATAATTTTCATCTTTTCCGTAGACAAGTCAAAATCAGCTAGTCCTGGCAGCGAAGAAGGAAATTCACCTAGGGGTATGTTTGGCGGACCAGACGTTTGGAGAAAATATAGAATCGATCCAATTAAAGTAAACGAATGGACGGCTCATCTTCGCATGGCAAGTAGAATGAGATCAGATACTGAGAAAATTCCATTATACTCATATGTATATATATATGTGTGTGTGTGTGTGTGTGTGTGT